GCAGAGACAGCGTGTGATGAACTGACCCCAACCCCCATTCCCCGTCCCCCTGTGTGGGAGGGGAGGACGTGGAGGAAATTGGGAGTGCAGTTGAGCCTGTGAAAAAGGGAGGGGTGGGGGGAAGGTGTTATAAGATTTGGTTTTATTTCTCATTACCTTACTCTGATTTGATCGGTAATAAATTTAATTCATTTCCCTGAGCTGAGTCTGCTTTGCCAATGGTGGTAATTGCTGAGTGATCTCCCCCTGTCCTTAACTCGACCCACGAGCCTTTCGTTACACTTTCTCTCCCCCTGCCCAGCTGAGGAGGGGAGTGATAGAGCAGCTTTGGTGGGCACCTGGTGTCCAGCCAGGGCCACCCCACCAAGCAACGTATGAGCTTCTCCGAACTTTGTGTGTGAGCATCTCCACGCATTGCTGGGTTATCTTCATGGCCTGGAAGGGAGGAAGCGCTGCCACAACCATCCTGCCGAGGCAGGAGATGAGCAGGGGGACTCGCTCTGTTTGTACAAAAAATTGCCTCCCTCCCCAGCTGACTGTACCAAAGGAGCTGGAGCTGAGCATCATGTCTGGTTTTCACCTGTATCCATCAGCACAGACAAACCCACCAGGAGTGACCAAACCCACAACCCCCCACAGAGGCTCGAGGCAGCGAGGGGCGCCCCAGGTGAGATGGGGAGTGGGGGGGTTCATCTGTGGCACCTGGGGCTGCTTCAGGAGGAATCGCTAGACAGCATCTACAGAGCTTGCCTGTCACAGGCACCAGCCCGACCAGAGTTCTGATGCTTCACCACATGCACCAAGCCCTCCCAAAATTATTGTAGGGTTGGGCGTATTTTTGGTATTAAACCTCGTGGGCCAAGGCGCAGCGGCTGCCTCCTCTGCTCCCCTGCCACAGGATGGGGATGGGGAGAAGCGGTCCCTGCAGCGCAGCTGCTAACATCGAGCTCAGCCTTCACCCCCCTGAAAGTGTCCTCAGTGAGAGTTGGCAAGTTCCTCCAGCACTACGCTTAACTTTAAGCCTAGAAAGGGAAAAGTCTAAAAAGCCAGAAAGCAGACCGTTTTAGCAGCCACCATGCTCCACTGTCACTTCACCCAAGCAAGCCTATAGCCTGGCCCCCACCCTGGCTGTATGCACCGCCCACGCACGCGATGGCCAGAATGATCGTGACAAATTGACTTTGGAATTAATCCCCCTTAAACCTTATCTCAGAGATTATTATTGCTATCAAGGCAGCTGAAGAAAGGCTGCTATCCCTCCACTGAGATTTCTTCCTCTGAGACAATTAAATAAAAAAAAAAAAAAAAGAAATCCACAAATCACTTGGACTGAAC